GACTTTTCCACAATATTCTAATTTATTGAGCTGCACCTATATATATAAACTGCTGGTTTTAAAGAAAATATTAACATAACTTTGAATATTCATATTAGTCATCTTGTGAAAATATACCAGTACAGTAGTGTCACAAAGTAGGATATCACACAAATTAGATCTTTAATTATTCTTCTTAAAACTTTTTTTTTACTTTGACTGCTTTCTGCCAGAGATCGCCACAGTGGACTCACTCAATCTGCATATTTAATTTGGCATTGTTTTTACAGTGGATGCCCCTCATGCATGTGAACCGCGAGAACATAGGCACAGAGAGAACTTGCAAACTCCATATCCACTGTCACCTCATAGCAAGCATAGAAGGTTCCGGGTTCAAGCCCGATCTCACCCGGGGCCTTTCTGTGCAGTCTGCATATTCCCCCTGTGCCTGCGTGGGTTCTCTCCAGGTACTCCGGCTTCCTCTCACAGTCCAAAGACATGCAGCTTAGGTTGACTGGTGACTCTAAATTGCCTGTAGGAGTGAGTGTGGGTGTGTGCGGTTGTTAGTCTTTAAGTGTCAGCCCTGTGATAGACTGGTGACCTGTCCAGGGTGTACCTTGCTTCTCGCCCATTGTCAGCTGGGATAGGCTCTGCACTCCACGATCCTATACAGGATAAGTGCTATAGATGATGGATGGATGGATGGATGGAATTTAAGAGAATAATATAAATGACTAGAGAAATCATAGAGGGAGGGAGAATTCTTTCTGTTAAATTGTCTGCTGTGTGTACAACTTCTCACAGCAAAGTTTCAAGTCTCTAACAGCAAAGGAAATGTTTTTTGTTTTTTTTTTATATCTCACTGTCCAGGTACGGGCTATTCCTAAGACTTACACTATAAACGCAGTATCAGTTGAGGATACCATCAACTTGTTGGCTGCTCTGGGTCAGATCAGATCCCTGCTGAGTGTCCGTATGGGAAGAGAGGAGGAAAAACTGATGATCAGAGGGCTGGGGTGAGTATGTTCTCAAGTATGTCTTCACCCTAGCCCTTTTTGTTGTTGGCATGAAACAGGCATGGGAGAACTGGATAAATATCAGTGGTGATCTAAGTGAAAATAATTCTTTAACACTGTAATTATGCGTTAATCTCTTTATTTTCATGTATACTAATACTGTTTCTTATTTAGTATTTGACACTTACAATACACTGTAAGATATATGACTGCCTAGTCAAATATCAAATTGAATATTCCACCTCTTTTTAATGGCGTTCATTTGGCTCAAGCAGAAATAAGAGCCAGCTTATATACAGTAGCTGCTCATTTATTACCACTTCTGGCTTTTATAATTTAGCCAAATTTTAGTAATGTTTTAACCTGATATTGGTATGTGTGCATACTGTATATCATATATTCAAGATAATTATACTAAACCTTATAATTTCCTGACTAGAGAATGTGCTTCACTCCATGTTCAGAGGTATGCACCATGTTTAATTGCACACATACTTGTTTTGTTTGCATAAAAATTAGTTTAAACCATTTAAATCTGTAGAAGGGGGGGACATGGAGAAGGGGAAAGAGAAAAAAAAGGACCCTACCAGGCAAAATTAAATCATAATGCCAAGAAAGAGTATGTGGACAAACTAATAACAATAAATAACATAGATCCATTTGACTTGGCAGATCAAAGTTGGATTGCAGCTTGTTTTTGGACTGTGAGTTTAAAAGTTATAAGAAGCTCATGAACAGTTTTGCAGAATCTGGGTGCAGTCTCTGCTAAATCACACGGTTTGTCAAACTGGGAGGGCACAGTGATGATAGATAAGGAGCGTGATCCCCTAGGCATGACACATTTACCCAAAATTCAACATGGTCTGATATCACCTTCACAGTCTCCATAACATTATTTAGATTTTTTCTGACATGTTCCAAAATGGAATTTAGCAATAAGACACTAAGAAGTGTCAATTTTGCAATAATATTACCTACAGGTAAAGAATCAAACCATGAAGCAGTGGTGAAGGGTTATTGTGATAATAAATGTGTCAAAAACTAAGATTTTTAAAGTTTATTTTTAAGTAAAGGATAAGACATTTCCTTATATATTGTATGTTCCTCTGCAGTGATATCATGAACAACAAGGTGTTCTACCAGCATCCTAATCTGATGAGAGCTCTGGGGATGCATGAAACTGTCATGGAGGTCATGGTCAATGTTCTTGGTGGAGGAGACTCCAAGGTATGAAGTATGCAGAAACTGCATACTTGCTGTTAGTTAAAGGGCGAGTTAGCTTTAACAAACTCATATAGTTTAATGTGAATTACTGCTGAGTAACTTGTGAATTTTCCACCAGAGATTAGTGGTCTTATGATTACTATGTTTTTTTATTTTGATTCTGAAAAGTGACTGGTAACTAAAGCTATACAATAAATGTAGTGGAGGAAGAAGTACATTTTTTATTTTATTTGCCTCTAAAACATAGTGAAGTCGTAGTAACAGAAAATGAAAATATTCAAGTAAAGTGCAGATACCTCACAATTGTACTAAAGTACAGTACTTGAATAAATGTACTTAGTTATTTTCCACCACTGTAAGCAACAATATACAAAAGGTAGCAATGCACTGTTGCACAGTTCTGATACCATTGGCATTATCAGCCTTAATAATAATAATAATAATAATAATAGGTCGGTGTAAAGAGACTTGCAACTACCCAGTTCTACTGCCTTAACTTTAAATAAATAGGCTATCACAGAGGTTTCTTTACAGTTTGTTTAAGGTGTTTTTCCAGACATTTTTCAAACTTTAATCTATTAAAGTTCTTAAAACCTGAACCATATTTATATAAATAAACTAAGTGATGATAAAACATTATGCAAAATATACCAGTTACAGTGAGAGCATTTGGTGCATATTTGTGTAACAACCCTGTATATGATGTGTGTTTTTACAGGAAATAGCCTTTCCTAAAATGGTGGCCAATTGTTGTCGGTTTCTTTGTTATTTTTGTCGAATCAGTCGTCAGAACCAGAAAGCAATGTTTGACCATCTCAGCTACCTGCTGGAGAACAGCAGTGTTGGCCTTGGTGAGTGCGTGTGCATGTCTCTTATCCTTTGTGTTGCTTTTGTTGTGTTTTTCAACTTCTTAGCCAAAAAGTCTTCCCAATCTTCCTTTAAATTATGTCATTGTGCTTGTTTTCACAATATGACTATTATAGATCCCCCTTTATTTAATTTCAGCTGTTTTTATTTCAAAATGCCATGCTTCCAGTGTTTTTCCAAATTATTTCATAATGGCATTTTTCAGCAGTAAGACAGTGCCTGTCAATCAGTGCAAACTGGGCGGGGCCAGTTATGTCATTTGCTCCTTATTTATTCAGAAATAGGTCTGGAGGTACAGAAACTACTTAGGTGGTAGTATGGACCTGAAAATATCAGTGCAACTGACAAAACAAGACAGAAATCTTCTGGCATGGCATTGTTCTAGCTTGACTGGCTACGGGTAAAGTGGTGATATTGCCATGTGTCAGGTTTTACAGTGGATGGGTTGTGGTTAGGATAGCAATGAAGAAAGTGACTACATACATTAATAAAACATTGTTGTTGTCAGCATTATAACTATTATTTTATTTCGTAGATTGTTAGCTATTACTCTGAGTCAATTTAAAAACTGTTCAGCTAAATGAAACTTAGCTTGAAAGCAGTGGAAATAGCTGTATACTGTGACAAAGCATGATGCACCCAGGTGTTTCATGTTAAAGTTAGTGACATACATAGTATTTGATATCTACGTACTGTATATCTTTTTCACAGTGGTATCATACACCACAAAGCCAACTCATTCAAAAATTAGCCTACACATTTTTGTCATGTTTGCCACGACAGCATGTACAATAGAGGATACATACACGTCTAAAACAATGATTATTGTGGATGTAGAACTGTCTTTGGACTGTGGGAGGAAGCCTGAGTACCCAGACCGAACCCACGCAGGCACCCACATGCAAACTCCGAACAGAAAGGCACTGGATAAGCTTGTGCTTGACTGAAGAACGTTCTTTATTTACATTTGAACAAAAAGTGGCATGTCCAAAATTATTCATACCCTTTGCAAACTGTCACAGTCTATGGGAAAATCTAAAGTTCTATACCATTCCAAATAGTCCAAGCTGTTCTAAAGCATCCTAATTAGACTGATTCATTACGAACAGCTGTTTTAATCAACTCAACACTCTGCAGGTGGTTTGTGGACATTCATGGCTAAGAGAAAGGAGCTCACAGTGGACCTGTGGTTGCGCATTGTGGCTGCTCATAAGTCAGGAAAGGGCTAAAAGACCATATCCAAATGTTTTGAAGTTCCAGTGGCTACAGTGCAAAGTATTATTACTAGGGGTGTGCATCTCTCCAATACATGACGATACGAGATGATTTCGATACATGGGCTATGATATGATTCGGAAACGATACTTTTTAAAATGGAACAATTCGATTCGATATGATTACACTATGATACGGTTCGATTCAATGGGGTATGATGCAATCAGATAGTTTGTTTAAAGCAGACGATCATTTTACATTGTGAAGCAACATAAGTCAGTTCTATAAATGTGAAATTGCTTGCTATAGACTACAGAGAACAAGTACTTTTGACATGTGAATTCAGCAACATGCCATGTTCATTAGTGTAACAGTACACTTTGAGAACTTTACAAAGCCCCTCTGATAACAGAAAATATTCAAGCTCGTTATTGGCACAAATTAAAGCCAAAGAAACAACTAAACAAGGTGAAAGAAATACAACTTCTGGAAAAATTTGTATAGCCTCAGATCAAAGAACAATAAGTTACTGAGGTTGAAATGGCAAACTGTAAGCGCTTGTAAAGTGCTCTTTTGTAAATTAACATGCATCTACGTTAAGAAATCTTGCACTAGTGCATTTCACTTTTTTAAACTGCCATTTCACTATGTGTAAACAGAAAACAACTATCAAAGTAATATATTTTTAGTTTTTCTTTGAGACAATATATGCGTGGTACACTCACACATGTACACACTATTACAAACCTTCCTACCTTTTCTCCATACCTTTGACTTTAAGCTTGGCGGTGCATTGTAGACCGTGTTGTCGTCCATGCAGGCGGCCGCAGTTACCCTCAATGCGCCCACCTGGCTCAAAAACTGCGTCCGCCATGCTGTCGCAAGATTACCGTGGCCGGCGCACAGGTTACGTCGGAACAAGGCTGCAAAACTAAAAAACTAACCGGCATGCACTGACATGTCCTATGCTGCTGTGTTTATTTCTTTGCAACATCAAACCGGTTTATAATGTTGTAATGGGGCCATCAACCGATTCAGCGCACATTTGGCCCGATTCGGACTTCGTCTACCGATGGACTCGTATTGTTTTAATTCAAATTCGATTTTCCGATTCATATTGGTTATTTGTTACACCCCTAATTATTACAAAATACAGGACGTTCTGCACTGTGAACAATCTCAGAGGATGTGGTCGGAAGCCAAAAGTTATACCTGTGCAGGCCAGGAGGAAAGTGAGAGAGGTAAAAAAAGAATCCAAGGATCACCACCAAGGCCATCCTGATAAATCTGGGCTCTGCTGGTGGCAACATCTCAAGGTAGACAGTCCAACGGACACTGTACACCGCTGGGTTCCACGGACGCAGACCAGATAAGGCACACAAAAGGCCGCTCTGCCTTTGCAAATGCTCATCTGGACAAAGAAGAAGACTTCTGGTCTTCTGTTTTATGGTCAGATGAAACAAAAATTGAATTGTTTGGCCACAATGATATAGCCTTCATTTGGCGTAAAAAAGGAGAAGCCTTCAACCTTAGGAACACCATCCCCACTGTCAAACATGGTGGTGGGAACCTAATGTTTTGGGGGTGTTTTTCAGCCGGTGGACCAGGGAACCTAATCACACTAAACATATACATCAAAATTCTCCACAACAACATCAGGCAGTCTGCAGAGAAACTTGGCATTGGGCACCTGTGGACATTTCAGCATGACAACAACCCAAAACACACAGCAAAAGTGGTGAAGAAATGGTTAGCAGACAAAAACATTAATGTTTTGCAGTGGCCCAGCCAGAGTCCTGACTTGAATCAATTTAGAATCTGTGGAGGGAGCTAAAGCTGAGGGTGATGGCAAGGAGACCCTCCAACCTGAAAGAGTTGGAGCTCATCACTAAAGATGAATGGGCAAAAATACCAGTGGAGACATGCAAAAAGCTGGTCAGCAATTATAGGAAGTGTTTGATTGCTGTAATAACTTTTTGTTCAAATGTAAATAAAGGTTGAGAAATATTTTTTTCCGCAATGATGTCTCTTATACATCGTATTATTATCTTTTGGGAGACGCCTGTGTCATTTCCTGTCAAAAAATACTTGCTAGTTGAATAAAAGTAACTAAGTCAGAATTTGCCAGGGGTATGAATAATTTCGGGCTTTACTGTATAAATTTTTAAAATATAATATTAAAGGATTCTTTTTCAGGTTTGATATATGGAATATGTTATATTAATTAATGTTTTGTTCCATTTAACAAAACTGAAGCAATTTCAGTGAGAGCTACTGTATAGTAAAACTAGCAATACAAGTGTGAGATACAGCATAAAAGTAGTGACAAGTATATATGTGAATCAGCATTATTCACTTCATCTGGGAGTGTTCTAATAGTTTTGTTCATTGTTATAAAGTATGTAAGAAACGCAATAAATTCTCTTATTCACCATATTTTTGAAAATGATTCTTGTACTCTCCTTTCTTACAATTTTTCGAGTGTTCTCTTAAGTTTGTAATTATTTTCTTCTTGTAAAGATATGTGTGAAAATGCCACATGGTTACTTAACTGTGTGTTTTCCACTGAGAATTTAGAATCCTTATGAAACTATTTTATTAGAGCAGAACTTCGTTTTAACCTATTTTTATTCTATTTTATAGTTTCTTCCCTTATTGCTCAGACACTATTTGGTGTTTAATCAGAGTGGTGCACCTCTGTTGTTTTTTTTCATAATGGACACCTTGTGTCTTTACTTGCTTCCATAGTAATTCTTTTCCTCTTCTCAGCATCTCCATCCATGCGAGGCTCTACTCCTCTAGATGTGGCTGCAGCATCGGTCATGGATAATAATGAGTTGGCCCTGGCTTTGAGAGAACCAGACCTGGAGAAGGTGAGGTGGACTAACCACAAACAGACAGACAGACATACAAAGACAAGGTATGATAAAATATGGCTAAAATTCAGTGGTTGTTTCATAGAGTGCTATAGGGATGAAGTATTTTTGTAGGTTAACCCAGAAGTCCACATCACCGTGGTTCCTTCGACAAAAGCCAGTGGGATTTTTCCATAGGCTTTTGGATTGTACAAAAGCTTTGGAAACTTGCACAGTTTTGTTCAGCAAGATGATCTTCACAAGTGAACACCACTTTTATGATTTTTGAAACCCGACTACGATCAGCAGCAGTAAAAATCTATTGTTAGGCAAAACAAACTACACAACAATCACGTAACTTCAGCATCACCACCACCGCTTCCAGTTTGTAATTTGATTTAGTGCACTTACCTCTACTACGCAATCCCTTCATCTTAGAGTGACCTGATCTAGCTCGTGATCATGGCTGTGTCAGTTAGTAAGTGTAGTTTGCAAGTGTGGAAGTTTAAATATTAGTCTTTACAAAATTATCTAAGAAATCACTTTCAGTTTAAAAACATTCCACTTTTCAACTTTGTTTGCCTCTGTAGGTGGTGCAGTACCTCGCCGGCTGTGGCCTGCAGAGCTGTGTGATGCTGGTGCGTAAAGGATACCCTGACATTGGCTGGAACCCTGTAGAGGGAGAACGCTACCTTGACTTCCTACGCTTTGCTGTCTTCTGCAATGGTGAAAATTTAAACAGTTTGAATTCACAAGTTAATATTTTCATCCACTATACTGCTTATCAGATTTGTATTTTCAACTACAAACTGTTGTTCCTCTTCACCAGTGTAGTACAGTTGGGAAAAGAATTATTTGATCCCTGCTGATTTTGTAGGTTTGCCCACTTACAAAGAAATGAAGGGTTTATAATTTTTATCATAGGTTTATTATAAAGGATAGAGACAGAATATCAACAAAAATCCCCAAAAGCACATGATACAAATGTTATAAACTGAGTTGCATTTCAGTGAGTAAAATAAGTATTTGATCCCCTACCAGCCAACAGTAATTCTGCCTCCCACAGACTGGGTATGTGCTCAAGTGGTGCCCAAATTAGTCCTGTCAATTTAAGAAGGTGCTCCTAATGACAATTTGTTATGTGTTAAAAAGACACGTGTCCACAGACTTTATCTATCTTCCATTCAAACCTCACCACTATGGGCAAGACAAAAGAGCTGTCAAAGGAAAGGTACAAGATTGTAGACCTGCACAAGGCTGTAATGGGCTTCAAGACCATCAGCAAGAAGCTTGGTGAGAAGGAGACAACTGTTGGAGTAGTTATTCACAAATGGAAGAAATACAAACTGACCATCAGTCGCCCTCGGTCTGGAGCTCCATGCAAGATTTCACCTCATGGGGTAAGGATGATCATGAGAAAAGTGAGGGATCATTCCATAACTACACAGGAGGAGCTTGTGAATGATCTCAAGGCAGTTGGGACCACAGTCACCAAACAAACCATTGGTAAAACAGTACGCCACCATGGATTGAAATCCTGCAGCACCCCTAAGGTCCCACTCCTCAAGAAGGCACATCTACAGGTCCATCTGAAGTTTGCCAGTGAACATCTAAATGATTCAGAGAAGGATTGGGAGAAAGTGCTGTTGTCAGATGAGACCAAAATTGAGCTCTTTGGCATCAACTCGACTCGCCGTGTTTGGAGAAAGAAAAATGCTGAGTATGACCCTAAGAACACCATCCCTACAGTCAAACACATTAGGCTTTCTCTGCTAAAGGTACAGGTCGACTTTGCCGCATCGAGGGGCCAATGGATGGGGCTATGCATTGTAAAATCTTGGATGAGAACCTCCAGGACACTGAAGATGGGTCATGGATGGCTCTTCCAGCATGACAGTGACCCAAAACATACCACAGCAACAAAGGCATGGCTCAAGAAGAAGCACATTAAGGTCATGGAGTGGCCTAGCCAGTCTCCAGACCTTAATCCTATAGAAAAATTTATGAAGGGGGCTGAAACTTCGAGTTGCCGGCAAACAGACAAGAACCCTTAAGGATTTAGAGAAGATCTCTAAAGAAGAGTGCACCAAAATGGCTCCTGAGATGTGCACAAACCTGGTGACCAGCTACAAGAAACATCTTACCTCTGTGATTGCCAAAACGGGTTTCTCCACCAAGTACTAAGTCATGTTTTGCTTGGGGATTAAATATTTATTTTACTCACTGAAATGCAACTCAGTTTATAACATTTGTATCATGTGCTTTTTGGGGATTTTGTGTTGATATTCTGTTTCTATCCCTTAGAATAAACCTATGATAAAAAATTATAGACCCTTCATTTCTTTGTAAGTGGGCAAGCCTACGAAATCAGCAGGAGATGTGTTTGGCATCAAGTATGATACTTTTCTGTGGTCAGGTGAAAGTGTTGAGGAGAATGCCAATGTTGTGGTGAGGCTTCTGATTCGTCGACCAGAATGTTTTGGCCCTGCTCTTCGAGGCGAAGGTGGTGATGGGTTGTTGGCAGCCATGGAAGAAGCCATTAAGATCTCTCAGGATCCCTCCAGAGATGGTCCCTCTCCTACATCTGAGAACAGCAAGACATTGTAAGACAACATTAGTTTTAGATACTGATAATTTAAGGAGGAAAACTTGCTGCATTTAGACTGTATTTGTCTCTTTCTATTTATGAGGGGTCATTTAAAATAACTCAGTACAATTGTAAACATCCATTTGATCTCTCTTCTAACCTGGTCCATGTCCATTTACTGAATGAACAGAAATCAGCACACTGTAAGTCATTTGTTGTCTGAATGAAGAATTATGGGAAGGAAATATTCTCTTTATAATACAGGTTGGAGTAGAAACAGTGCAGTTAGGTTTACCAAACAGCCTGCTGAAAGCTCACAGACTCCTATGAGCCTTCATGCTGAAAATGTTGGTAATGCCATTGTCACTTCAGTTTGTAAAGGATGGTCTCATATTTACTGGATCATGAGGGAGATAGAATGCAACTCTAAAGCCATGGCTACCTAGGTTAGTTGGGTTAGCTCACAGTATGGTTCAATACAAAACTAACCCTCCGGAAAAAAATGGAATTTAAAATTCAAATGTGTTTAGGGAGAAAGTGAGCTTAAGTATTCAGTTGTGTGAAATATTATTGTTTACATGCTTACTTGTGTGTGTGTGTGTGTGTGTGTGTGTGTAGTGTTGAAATGCTAGAAGAAGGGGAAGATGATACTATACACATAGGGAATGCCATAATGACATTCTATGCTGCCCTCATTGACCTGCTGGGTCGCTGTGCTCCAGAAATGCATGTGAGTGACAAAACACAAGCACACACACAGACTCATGCATGTACATACTGTACATACACAGGCTAACCTGACCATTCTGTATCAGCTAATCCATGGAGGTAAAGGTGAAGCAATCCGTATCAGAGCCATTCTGAGGTCTCTCATCCCTATTGAAGACCTGGTGGGAGTCATCAGCATTCCATTCTCCATGCCCAACCTAGCTAAAGGTAAGCAAACCCACCAGCACCCACCCCACCTGACATTCAGCGATCCAGTATAGGATCAAGGATGATAATGTGCAGACACAAATCTTGTTCTTTTTGTGTGTAAATATGTGTGTATGTTTGTACCTGTGCCTGCACAGATGGGATGGTGGTGGAGCCAGACATGTCAGCTGGTTTCTGTCCAGATCATAAAGCAGCCATGGTGCTGTTCCTGGACCGGGTCTATGGTATAGAAGACCAGAATTTCCTGCTTCACTTGCTGGAAGTTGGGTTCTTACCTGACTTGAGAGCTGCTGCCTCTCTGGACACTGTGAGTGTTTCTCTGTACAGTAACCTCTTTTTTTTTTAAATGGCTTCTTAACCACTTATTTGCTGTTTGACATTTTCTTAAAGCTGAACTAATTAGTATTTTAATTGTTAAGTTGTTCAAAATGACAAATGTGCAAATCATGCACATTTGATGAAATTACCACCAAATTCCCTTAGCTCCCCTTAGTGCTACAGAGTGTTTTAATCAGTTTGCGATCATTGTTTTGGATTTCGAGCCTGCAGTTTTACTGTTCTTATTTCCAACGACAGCAGGTGGCTGTTTTCAGAGAAAAGCTTTAGAGCACAGATTATTTTTTCACATAGTCACAGATGTGGAAGTATTTAAAGAAAGAAGTTCTGGGTAGATTAAATTTCAAGGACAACTGTGAGAAAGAGGTGCACTTATTATCAATGTATAAATCTTTGTATGCAGTAATACCTCTATTCTGCCACTTCCTCAAAGTATCATCATTCATTGACAGAGGAAAAACCAGATTATTGCAGCAAAGAGAAAGTAGTGAAATTGTTTGAACCTTTATTTAACTGACAAAACTACAAAGAAAAGGTTGTCAGTGTTTTTACTGACCAACTTAAAATCCGTGAATATCTTTCTAGCTTTACTGAATTAAAATTTAATTAAGATTTAGCAGGAATTTTCTTAAATTTGACAGTAAGGGCCCAAGAATGGTTTGTTGTGGAGCTCTATTTTTTAGTTGTACCAAAGGTACAACTAAAAATACATTTGACTTGTGGTCTTGCTCAGCCACTGAATGAATGAATGTTTTTCAAAGACTAAACATGATTACACACAGAAATGTCCTTTTTCTGTTTTGTTTTTTTGTTCGTATCAGGTTGCTCTCAGTGCCACAGACATGGCACTTGCCCTCAACAGGTATCTGTGTACAGCTGTGTTGCCTCTCCTGACTAAATGTGCACCGCTGTTTGCGGGGACAGAGCCGTTTGCCTCACTGATCGACTCCCTCCTCCACACGGTTTACCGCCTGTCCAAAGGGTGCTGCCTCACTAAGGCCCAGAGGGACGCCATAGAGGAGTGTCTGCTGGCTGTTTGTGGGTAAGACTGGAATCAAAACAGAGTTTTAATTAAGACATTTACAGTATGTGTGATCCATTTATTTATCATTGTCATTGTTTTTATTAAAATGGATTTGTTAGTCTTTTGGCTGTTTTCTTGCTTTGTTTTGTATTAAGAGCAAGTTGACCTTCTGTGCATCTGTTAAATTATTATAATTAAGTCACACTCATCATTTGGTCAGCTATGTTTTTATACTGCTCATACTTTTGTGGCAATGCAATTAGCCAGCTAATGTATGTCATCTTAATAATTTGCAGAAAGCTCAGGCCTTCAATGATGCAGCATCTGCTGAGGAGGCTGGTATTTGATGTCCCCTTGCTTAATGAACACACCAAGATGCCTCTGAAGGTGAGAAATAAAATGTTTAAAGGTTTTATCTCTATCCAGTCAGTTCAAAAGTCCTTTTCGGAGTCTACAGGCTCTATAATTTAGCACTAATAGTAAGATCTGCCAGCAGTTTACTGTATGCATTTTACTGGTGTATTACCTTAGCTTAGATGGCATTCACAAAGCTAGGTAAGAATTTCCAGTTCATCATGATATCATGATTATGTGTTGTGGTAATATGAATAGGAGAGGCTGATTTGATTGCTGTGATTGAAATCACATTGTACAACACATTCAGAAAACATCTTAATCCACATTTTTTTGTTTGTTTACAAGTGCACTTCTTGCATCAGCATCTCCTTATTTCAGATTTGCTAAAATTTGAATTTGTGCCACTGGCTGCCCTTGTTTGATAAAACTGGTTTTAAAAGCCAGCAGATGGTTGACAAATATCCTCTTGACTTTGCTCAGCTGCTGACCAATCACTATGAGCGTTGTTGGAAGTATTACTGCCTGGCTGGAGGTTGGGGTAGCTTTGGAGCTGCATCAGATGAAGAGCTTCACCTCTCCAGGAAACTGTTCTGGGGAATATTTGATGCTCTGTCACACAAAGTAAGACTAAGATTAAGTCTATTTTTATGGAATCTTAAATGCCAATAAAATGAATTACATGATAACTAGAATAGATGTGTAAAGGGTACCCACAATTTTGTGTTGCACTTCCAGTAAGTTGAGGGACTCCCAACAGACAGATTTATCAAATTCAATACAATAGGGTGAAATATTCTAACATTTGGTGTCAGTATGGCTCAAGAGCCAAAAGAAACAGAATCCTTCATTTTCCATAATACAATCAATAGCATGTCTTTGTTTGACATTCCTTGCCAGATAAATTGTCATGTCTTTCATGCTTTTATAAATGAGTAGTCTCCAAGGTCAGACTGAGATAACCTTGATGACATCATAATGTCATTACCTGTGTTACTTTGACCTGATACAGCTTCTCCAGAGTCCCAGAAAACTTGATATACCTGTTTTCACATTAGCAGTATGTAATGTTTCATGAATTTCCCTTTATGACAAGTAAGGTGTGAAATTCATGTTATGTCAAATGATTTAATAAAACGCACAACCTGAAGACTCCTACACTATGATCATAACATCAGTATTGTACAATTCATTGCTACTGCATTACTGTTAAAATGTAAGCGCAGTTAAACTTGCAGTGGAAGCATAACAGTGCCGTCTAACGATGTTCAAAGCAGCATACTGTGTATGTCTTTTCATTACGTAGGGTTATGACCAGGAGCTGTTTAAACTGGCCTTGCCATGTCTCAGTGCTGTGGCTGGAGCTCTTCCTCCAGACTATATGGAGTCTAACTACATGGCCATGATGGAGAAACAGTCATCCATGGATTCAGAAGGAAACTTCTATCCACAGCCTGCAGACACTGCCAAGTACACAACATGTTTATTTATTCTTTGTTAAATAGGTTTCAATTCTATTTCACATCTCAACATTCTCTTAAATTGTTGCCTTGTTTATTTATTGTAGTTACTTGAAAAAATTGGATATTGGTTTAAAAACACATCCAGTCATTGTATAACACTCTTTGTACAATGACACAAAAATCCAGATGCAGATTCAAATTCCCTAAAAATGTATCTTTAATAAAATTAATTCAGCTGGTGATCCTATTTTTGATTTTTTTTTGTCTTGTCTTCATTAGTATAACTATTCCAGAGAAACTGGACAGTTTCATAACCAGATATGCAGAACACAACCATGAGAAGTGGTGTATAGAAAAGGTGAGGCGACAGGTGACATAATGTTCACAAGTAAAACATGAAACTGTGTTACTGATTTGTTTGATGTCTCAGTAGTTGTGTTATGCCAAAAAGTTTGAATTTTGAAATATCTCTCTTTTGTATTGTACAGTTTTCCAGTGGCTGGACATATGGGGAACAGATATGTGAAATCAGCAAGAGCCACCCTTTACTGAAACCATACAAAAGCCTCTCTGAAAAGGTAGCCTGCATGCAGTTTTCTGCATCTCTTCATCTCGGTCAAAAAAACTAGAAGGTGTTTAATTGTCTCTGAATCCAATCCATCGCTTTGGATTAATACATTGATCAAACACCCTGCAATCTGATGGCATCGATGCAAAACACAACATCAGTGTTTTATGTGCTTTTATTTTGACAGCTAGCCATATACATTTTAGGTTTTTCTTTACCCCTAGTAGCCCACCTGGTATTATAAAAATGTTTATCTTTTACATAATTTAATTGTGAGTACAAGCAGTTTGGTTATTTACTATAACATATATTCCTAAAGAAACTCAATAAATTACATACTAAATTTTTACTCTTGAGCATTGAGAGACTGGCATGCATTTCCTCTTTACCGTGTCTCACTCCTAACAGACAAGACAGTGCAAGTTAGGCAGCTTTATTCTGAGCCATGTGAAGCATAGATAATCAGAGCTTAAAGTTCTCCGGCACTGTGCCGGCTGTATCAGATATGGCTTTTTTTCTCAGCTTTTTTGTATTGTTCCAATGCAAACAAAAGAAATAAACATGCAAATACCAAAGAGTTTGTGATTGCGACAGTTTTCTGGGAGAAGTGGTGCATTATCTGACAGAAAAGCAGGGGTTCCAATATTTTTGATCATGACTGCATGTATAGACTGTGTAAACAGCCATAAGGAACCCTGTTTGTTGAATTAACAAAGTAGACCCACTTTATTAATAAAAGCCTTAGTTTACACTTTGGCTCAGTAACACGTCATCTCAATAATGCACATGGCCGCCGCACTCTACTTTGACAAAGTACTGCAATATATAGGCTGTTTATTTTGTTTTCACATCTCTGCGATCTTTTGGACTTACTTGGCTATCGCTTCACAGCAGTAGGCCAATTGTGCACTATGTGATGTTTAGAGACCAAAGGATGAACAAGTGTTGAAAAGCTTGAAAAAGTCATATTGAATATTCTTTATGGCTTTGAAGGTTATGCTTGGACTTGATACAATTACCAGACTATACTGTAGTTTCAGACTGTGGACAGGGTGAGTAGAGAATGTTATTTTTTTCCCCCATTTGGGCCTTTTATCTTAATGTGAGGTTTCACATTTAGGAACAGCTGAATTTGGTGGTTCTGTCTCTCTGAAACAGGCCACAGTGATTGCACAGATTTCATCCATTTGGCTTGCAGCCAAAGCATCTTTAGCATCTTTTAGCATCTTAGACCCATAGCTACGGTTTTTGTTTCCTTGCTTTAAGCCCTGATCAAACTGCCGAGCAGTAGTCAAGGTGAGTAACACTAATACCTTTGTCACTAACAACCTAGAGGCTGGGGTACAAAAACAGGAGCATCTACATGCTACATGCTATTCCTGAACTTTCTTTTTGACAGTATTTTCAATCTGTTTCTGCCATGATAGTTACTTATCGAGTGTGACACCAAGCTGTTTTACCTCTTGAACCTGTTCAGTATCCAAACCTTTAAGTGATTCATACAACAAATTGTCACTATTAATGACATGTCACACCCTGAATATCATACCTTTAGTTTAGATACTTCATAGGCAAAGGTCTGTTTAAAGACTTTTTAAAAGGCAAGCAGTGAGAGTCTCAATTCAGAATGAGCAGCCTTAGAGATACGAGAAACTGATCTTTTGAATAGAATAATAATAATAATAATAATAGTTAATTTATATAAACTATTATTATTATTATTATTGTAGCACTTTACAACTCGGCAGGAGCCCAAAGTGCTTCACAAAAGGACACTAATACAAGACAATACTAAAACAAAAACCTATACAAAACAAACTACAAAGTATTAAAAACCCAAAAATAAAAAAAAACATCGGTATCAGAATAAGAAACAGCATAAAACAACAGGGAAACGAGTTAAAAATGAGTTAAGATTAAGACAAGCTAAATTTCAGAGTTGACTTAAAAGCTGCCAGCTCAGTTTCGGCCCAAAGCTCTGGCAGTAGGGAGTTCCAAAGCCTGGGGCCATACACGGCAAAAGAGCATTCTCCCCATTTTTTGTACCTAGCCCGAGGAACAACCAGAGACAGGTGTTCTGAGGAGCGCAGGGTTCTGCGTGGCACATAGACGAAGAGAAGATCCGATATATATGGCGGAGCAAGGCCATTTATGGCCTTAAAAACAAACAGTAGTATTTTGAAGTTAATTCTACAGTGTATTGGCAGAATGGAAACATTTTTGTTCTCCACTTACAATGGATACCCTAATGGAATAATAAAATTGGACTGTATTCTTGCAGGATAAGGAGTCATACTGCTGGTCAGTCAGAGAATCTCTGAAGACCATGCTGTCGTGGGGCTGGAGCATTGATAGGATCAGAGAGGGAGACCCCATCAGCCTACATAACAAGTCCCGGAGAATGTCGCAGGCTAGCCAGGTACAGTACATATGCACACATGAACAGTGACATACAGTATACATGATTATGCAAACATGTGCATACAAATTAAAAATAATTTTTGCTATAAAAGATATTTATACAGAAAAATGAAATATCACACGAAAAGGCGAAATATACAGTTTATCATCTGTTCCCCAGCTGTCATTTGAAGGAACACCAGCTTTCAGTCCTAGACCCATTGATATGAGCAATGTTACACTGTCTAGAGATATGCAGGTAGGTGACTCTACACACATAAAAAATCTACAGTATAATATGATCAAATAAAAGAAGCTTATTATACTGGACTATTGTAGCACTAAGGGAGAATATTGAGATATTGAATGAATCTGTCATATATGTTTAATATTGTGTTTGTCCAGTCTATGGCAGAACTACTTGCAGAGAATGATCATAATATCTGGGCCAAGAAAAAGAAAATTGAGCTGGAATCCAAAGGTACGTATGATATAGCACATCCACAGACAGTATATAGCCAAACTTTTTTCATTTGCTACCATCACTGGGTCGGTGGTTTAGCATAAACACAACAATCTGAATTTTTGCAGTGTAAGACTGGTATTCCACATTTGTATTTTTTTTTCTTGAAACCACAATGAACTACTTCAAAACTGTTCATCTGAACATCAGCAGTGAAAAGGCCACTAATACAGTTTTTTTTTAAAGTCATGCTTTTGAGATGCCTTCCTTCCTGACTTGAAGTTTTATTAGCCGGTTTTCTGTGTTGTTTTTATTTCTAGGTGGAGGAAACCATCCTCTTCTGGTTCCTTATGATACACTGACTGCCAAAGAGAAATCCAAAGACAGAGAAAAAGCACAAGACATCCTTAAGTTCCTCCAGATCAACAGTTACACTGTATCCAGGTAGGGAACATGCAGATTGGAAGTATATTTTATGCCCCAATGTCGCTCTCTTGTCCACCTTTCCGTAATCCACTGTCAAGAAAATCATGAATTTATTATGTGAATTTAAGTATGAATCAGTCAGTCTGACACACCACAGTGTGTGCATACCGGTGAGTACCTGTATTGTGTTTATTTTCACACATTAATAGGAACAGTTTGAGATTTTAGGAAATTTGCTTGTTTGCTAAAGTGTCTGCCCCACAGTCAGTCAATATCAAACACCCTCCTGCACTAATGTTAGACTCTGTTAGATAAACTGCTTTGCCAGAGCTGAGAAATACAGTATTTGCACGACCATCTGTCTTAGTGCTCTCGATCTTCTTCACCACATCCTGGAAGAAGAAGGAGAAAAAAAAAAAAAAAAAAAAAGATAGAAAAAAATTTGACTAACCTGCAAATATATCAGTGTTAGTATGTGCTACTGTGTTCTGTAGACACAGTATCTAGTACTGAATGTCGTTTGTTTTGACTGATGAGTGGAAAGATGTCATATTCCAGAATTGGGAACTTGGTAGACTGCTCTAACATTATGTACGTAACAGTGGTGGAAAGTAAACTAAGTACATTTACTCAACTACTGTACTACTGTAGTGTAATTTTGAGTTATCTGTATTCTCATTTTCTGTTACTTCATACTTTGATGTCACTACATTTTAGAAGCAAATATTGTACTTTTTATTCCCCTATATTTATTTTATAACTTCAGTTAGTAGGTTCTTTTCAGGACCAGATTAATACAAAAAGTACAGTATAATTATACGATCTCATTGATCTGTGGTGGAAAATTCACAGTACTTCAAATTAAATTCATACAAGCTAGTTAAAATTGGCTCCCCTTTACCAGCTGCAACATTAAATGTAATGTACAATAATGTATTAGTACTTATAATGCAATAATATGATGTGCAGGAATGTGAAATATGCCATTCTGCATAATGAGCACTTTTAGTACTTTAAATATGTTTGATGCTTATACTTTAGTACTTTTACTTGAGCAAGATTTTGAATGCAGGACTTTTACTTGTAACAGAGTATTTTTACACAGTTGTACTGCTACTTTTACTTAAGTAAAGTAAAAGTACTTCTTCCACCACTGGTATGTAAAGTGTAGTGTAGTGATGAGTCACAAGTTGTAAGAGGAATGTAAGTTACTTTGGCTGCTGTTGTAGAGTAGTTGCTAGAGGGCAGGATTAACGTGAGAGAGTGTAAGCTATGCCAAGAGCTACTGAGATGATGTGCAGTCTGTTGCTAAGTCCCTATTAAGAAGCTAGTAAATTTCAGTCTATACCACATGATATGCAAATTTACTTGTTCATCTTGAAACGGAAACCATTACATATAGTATGTTGTCTTTAATCATCTTTTTTATATACAGTGCCTTGCGAAAGTATTCGGCCCCCTTGAACTTTGCGACCTTTTGCCACATTTCAGGCTTCAAACATAAAGATATAAAACTGTAATTTTTTGTGAAGAATCAACAACAAGTGGGACACAATCATGAAGTGGAATGAAATTTATTGGATATTTCAAACTTTTCTAACAAATAAAAAACTGAAAAATTGGGCGTGCAAAATTATTCAGCCCCTTTACTTTCAGTGCAGCAAACTCTCTAAAGAAGTTCAGTGAGGATCTCTGAATGATCCAATGTTGACCTAAATGACAAAGGATGATAAATAGAATCCACCTGTGTGTAATCAAGTCTCCATATAAATGCACCTGCACTGTGATAGTCTCAGAGGTCCGTTTAAAGCGCAGAGAGCATCATGAAGAACAAGGAACACACCAGGCAGGTCCGAGATACTGTTGTGGAGAAGTTTAAAGCCAGATTTGGATACAAAAAGATTTCCCAAGCTTTAAACATCCCAAGGAGCACTGTGCAAGCAATAATATTGAAATGGAAGGAGTATCAGACCACTGCAAATCTACCAAGACCTGGCCGTCCCTCTAAACTTTCAGCTCATACAAGGAGAAGACTGATCAGAGATGCAGCCAAGAGGCCCATGATCACTCTGGATGAACTGCAGAGATCTACAGCTGAGGTGGGAGACTCTGTCCATAGGACAACAATCAGTCGTATACTGCACAAATCTGGCCTTTATGGAAGAGTGGCAAGAAGAAAGCCATTTCTTAAAGATATCCATAAAAAGTGTCATTTAAAGTTTGCCACAAGCCACCTGGGAGACACACCAAACATGTGGAAGAAGGTGCTCTGGTCAGATGAAACCAAAATCGAACTTTTTGGCAACAATGCAAAACGTTATGTTTGGCGTAAAAGCAACACAGCTCATCACCCTGAACACACCATCCCCACTGTCAAACATGGTGGTGGCAGCATCATGGTTTGGGCCTGCTTTTCTTCAGCAGGGACAGGGAAGATGGTTAAAATTGATGGGAAGATGGATGGAGCCAAATACAGGACCATTCTGGAAGGAAACCTGATGGAGTCTGCAAAAGACCTGAGACTGGGACGGAGATTTGTCTTCCAACAAGACAATGATCCAAAACATAAAGCAAAATCTACAATGGAATGGTTCACAAATAAACATATCCAGGTGTTAGAATGGCCAAGTCAAAGTCCAGACCTGAATCCAATCGAGAATCTGTGGAAAGAACTGAAAACTGCTGTTCACAAATGCTCTCCATCCAACCTCACTGAGCTCGAGCTGTTTTGCAAGGAGGCATGGGCAAAAATTTCAGTCTCTCGATGTGCAAAACTGATAGAGACATACCCCAAGCGATTTACAGCTGTAATCGCAGCAAAAGGTGGCGCTACAACGTATTAACTTAAGGGGGTTGAATAATTTTGCACGCCCAATTTTTCAGTTTTTTATTTGTTAAAAAAGTTTGAAATATCCAATAAATTTCGTTCCACTTCATGATTGTGTCCCACTTGTTGTTGATTCTTCACAAAAAATTACAGTTTTATATCTTTATGTTTGAAGCCTGAAATGTGGCAAAAGGTCGCAAAGTTCAAGGGGGCCGAATACTTTTGCAAGGCACTGTATATGTGCAGTATGTGTGCTGATATTTCTTAAAGGTTTTATTTTTAACCATCCTATTCAGTGCCTGGAATTATGCCACACTCAACCAATAAGTGACTTTAATTCAATAGGTATATTGCATCATGTTGTATCATTGTAGCAAGTAAGCAAGACATTTTAAATGCTGTGTGCCAGCACTTAGCTGTCAACATATAATAAAATATTGTATTATGTAAAATATGATATGAGTACATTATTATACCTTAAATAAGCAAGATGCAGCTCTTAAATATGGCAGCTTGATAATTGTTAGAGGGGCTTTTCACTTTTGATAGAGCTAAGCTTGTCAGGGTTGGCAAGTAAAGCTGCCAACAGTGTCAGTGGTGGACTCAATTATAATGTCAAATGAGATATAGCAAGGAGCTGTCTCTTTACTGCTTGCACCAGCAACTAGTATTATCGAGTCGATAATCAGCGCCAGCAACTCACACAGCCAAGAAGTCCACAAAAGCACGGTCAAAATGGAAGTCCAAAGGTCGATGCACAGAAAGCAATCAGGATCAGGAGGGTTAGGCAATACTCTGTGGTCAAAGGCAATCCGGGGTTAGAACAGGAATATCAGGTACTAGGAATAATGCTGGAAAGTCTGAACGGGAGTCTAGAACAATCTGGCAGCTTCCTGGTGGGAGGAAGCTGCCTATAAAAGGGTAAAAACAGGTGCAAACAATAACCGCTGATTAGAGTAAAGAGTCCGAAGCTGAGGTGAAACTGAAACAGGGAGTGGTGTCAACCTAAAAGCATGAGACCGGAAGCAGGTGGGGCAGAATCATGACAAAGCTAGCAGTTTCTATCAATTTCATCTCTTTACTAGATGCACATAGATGGAAGATAAGTGTATTTCCAAAAATTTAAGATTGTTTGTTGTTTCCAGAGCTGCAAAGTCACAGGAGCTGGATGCTCCAGCTATTGAGAAACGATTTGCCTACACCTTCCTCCAGCAGCTCATTGCATACGTTGACCAGGCGCACCAACACATAATGGAGTTTGGTAAGACTCTTCTGTTGTCTAAGGAATAATTAAACAGAAGGCCATTAAAATAATGCATTATGCGTAGAAAATACAGTATGTAACTGAGTAATAATAATTATCTCTAAATTAGATTCATGAGTGGTGGTGCAGAGTGGAATGTGCTTTGAGTAACAAAAAACACAGACAAGAGTGGAGAGAGAACAACACCATCAAGCAGAGAATTTGTGCAAAGCACGCCAATGTACACAATGTGTGTATCAAACAGTCACTGCTTTGATTTTATGTGCAATACACAAGGCATGCACTCTGAATGTCTGATGCAGTGTAGGCTACAGTGTTACCACTGTGAAAAGAAAAACCCTTGAGATGCAAGTGCACTTCCCTTGGTGCATGTGAGGCAATATTCATATGTACAGTAAATGTATCCAGATTTTATCATCTTTGATTCTGCTCTACCTGCCATTAAGATCTAGGAACAAGACCAAAGGGAGAGAAGATACCTCATGAACAGCAACTGAAGTTCTTTGGAAAGGTCAGAACTCATTATCATTTTTCATTCTCTATCAGTTGGGTATTTGATTATGTTCACATTTGACCTTGGAGCTTTATTATGCAAACATTGTCTATTAAAGGTCTAAATAACAAATTGAATAGATCTGTATAACCTGAAGCAATCAGTGAAATGAAGAGTGCTATCCATCAACAAGCTTGTCAGCAGCTGTATCTTAAGATTGTAGTTTGTTTAAATAAATACATTTGGGGACAGGAAAGTAAATGCACTGTCTGTTTATGCTATTTAACCCACAGGTGGTCTTACCTTTGGTGGATCAGTACTTTAAAAACCACAGGCTGTACTTCCTGTCCACAGCTATTCATCCAATCAGCAGCGGTGGCCATGCCTCCAATAAGGAGAAGGAGATGGTGACCAGGTGAGTGTGACAAATGTTATGAGAGAGGGAGAGAGAAAGCCAACAATGCCAGTATTGCAGGGTGTAGCACTTTCTTTGTTGCCTAATTGATTAAATGACTAATATTTTTTACTGATGAGACATGCACTTTATGAACTTTTGGAAGTCTCAACAGCTTGACATCAGGATGTGTGCCTTTATATCTTTCCTGGACTTTCTATGGTTTTCTCTGGCTTTTTCTCATTTGATTATCATTATTATTATTATTATTAGTAGTAGTATTAATAATCTATTTCTGTGCTTCCCTCTACCTCCTCCTCTCTCCACTTCACTGAATCTTTTCAGTCTTTTCTGCAAACTGGGAGTTCTTGTCAGACATAGGATATCTGTATTTGGTAAGGGTGTTTATTCTTTGTTTTTTGGTAGATGAGACATAAAATCATATCTCATGTTTTTAGCTGTTGGTATTTCTTTGGACAGTTGATTTCCAACAACTCTTTTCTCCAGGTAACAATGCCACATCTATAGTCAACTGTCTGCAGATACTGGGACAAAGCCTGGATGCCAGGTAAGGAAAGGCATGAACTATGACATACAGTGCCTTGCGAAAGTATTTGGCCCCCTTGAACTTTGCGACCTTTTGCCACATTTCAGGCTTCAAACATAAAGATATAAAACTGTAATTTTTTGTGAAGAATCAACAACAAGTGGGACACAATCATGAAGTGGAACGAAATTTATTGGATATTTCAAACTTTTTTAACAAATAAAAAACTGAAAAATTGGGCGTGCAAAATTATTCAGCCCCCTTAAGTTAATACTTTGTAGCGCCACCTTTTGCTGCGATTACAGCTGTAAGTCGCTTGGGGTATGTCTATCAGTTTTGCACATCGAGAGACTGAAATTTTTGCCCATTCCTCCTTGCAAAACAGCTTGAGCTCAGTGAGGTTGGATGGAGAGCGTTTGTGAACAGCAGTTTTCAGTTCTTTCCACAGATTCTCGATTGGATTCAGGTCTGGACTTTGACTTGGCCATTCTAACACCTGGATATGTTTATTTGTGAACCATTCCATTGTAGATTTTGCTTTATGTTTTGGATCATTGTCTTGTTGGAAGACAAATCTCCGTCCCAGTCTCAGGTCTTTTGCAGACTCCATCAGGTTTCCTTCCAGAATGGTCCTGTATTTGGCTCCATCCATCTTCCCATCAATTTTAACCATCTTCCCTGTCCCTGCTGAAGAAAAGCAGGCCCAAACCATGATGCTGCCACCACCATGTTTGACAGTGGGGATGGTGTGTTCAGGGTGATGAGCTGTGTTGCTTTTACGCCAAACATAACGTTTTGCATTGTTGCCAAAAAGTTCGATTTTGGTTTCATCTGACCAGAGCACCTTCTTCCACATGTTTGGTGTGTCTCCCAGGTGGCTTGTGGCAAACTTTAAACGACACTTTTTATGGCTATCTTTAAGAAATGGCTTTCTTCTTGCCACTCTTCCATAAAGGCCAGATTTGTGCAGTATACGACTGATTGTTGTCCTATGGACAGAGTCTCCTACCTCAGCTGTAGATCTCTGCAGTTCATCCAGAGTGATCATGGGCCTCTTGGCTGCATCTCTGATCAGTCTTCTCCTTGTGTGAGCTGAAAGTTTAGAGGGACGGCCAGGTCTTGGTAGATTTGCAGTGGTCTGATACTCCTTTCATTTCAATATTATCGCTTGCACAGTGCTCCTTGGGATGTTTAAAGCTTGGGAAATCTTTTTGTATCCAAATCCGGCTTTAAACTTCTCCACAACAGTATCTTGGACCTGCCTGGTGTGTTCCTTGTTCTTCATGATGCTCTCTGCGCTTTAAACGGAGCTCTGAGACTATCACAGTGCAGGTGCATTTATATGGAGACTTGATTACACACAGGTGGATTTTATTTATCATCATTAGTCATTTAGGTCAACATTGGATCATTCAGAGATCCTCACTGAACTTCTGGAGAGCGTTTGCTGCACTGAAAGTAAAGGGGCTGAATAATTTTGCACGCCCAATTTTTCAGTTTTTTATTTGTTAAAAAAGTTTGAAATATCCAATAAATTTCGTTCCACTTCATGATTGTGTCCCACTTGTTGTTGATTCTTCACAAAAAATCACAGTTTTATATCTTTATGTTTGAAGCCTGAAATGTGGCAAAAGGTCGCAAAGTTCAAGGGGGCCGAATACTTTCGCAAGGCACTGTATATGTGTGTGGCCCTGTTTTTCTATCCCAAAACAGGGAGCACACTATCACTGTGGGGACTTATTATATTATTATCATTATAACTTATTTTACAAGACTTTCTGTTTGTTACAACTGCATGATTGTTAACAGTAGTCAAGTTTGTCATTTGCCATTTGCGCAGCTACAGGCACACATGAGCACAGGAATTCTTGCACAGTTCTTGCATTTGGTTTTTAAAAGACAGGATATAACACCACCAGAAATACAGTAGTACTGAAAAATATATAAAAATGAGGCAGCTACTACACAAGGAAAACAACTATACTAAGATGGTGAAAAAAGTCCCAGTTTAAAAAAAAGTGTTGACCTCCATATGAGACAACTTAAAGCTAAAGAAAAATCCTTATTATTCCTTTAAGAGAATATTTGAGATATTTATTACTATATATGACAGGTGAGCAGAGAAGGACGTTGAAGGAGAATAATATGCAACTCATGTACTACAGTTAATAGCCTGATAGCAGCACTAGCAGGACAAAGATTAATATTGCACAGACTGATATTGATATTATAGCTTATAAAATAAGGTATTGCACCAAATAATGCCCTGAAACATCCTATTTGTTGAAAGTGGGAACTATTACATGAAGTTATAAGAGCAGCCGAATTATAAATGGCTAAATAATGAGACGTGTGTGTGTGTGCGCGCCACTTGTCAGTACACCAGGGAAGGCATGTACGTATAGTTAAGTCTTTGTTCAAGCTGGTGCTGAACAACGTATCTTGTCTTATGGTGTTAAAGATGAACACTGATAATGCCCTCAGATTTGCCTGAATACAATCAAACAGTAATATGGGTTGTTAGTTCAGCAGTTTGATGGCTTGACGTGTGGATAGAAGCTGTCTCTGAGCCTGCTGGACCTACAGTAGCTTGTAGGCTTCACAGATTGTACTGAGTCACACAAGCTTTTGAAATTTTGTCTACATAAAGATACACACCTACTTCAGTCTATTTTAGGAAGAATATGTGTGAGATTTTGATGTCAGTACAGTGAGCAATATACATTTTATGGCATGTAATGTTTTTGTCACTTCCAGGGCAACTCTTGGCTTCTAGCCCATCCCCTTCATATTAAATTTGGACATTAGCTGGTTGGTGAAGAAATTAAATTTATTTCTCAAATCGAATCTGAGCAGTTAAAATGATTCTTCTTAATACTAAAGCAAATGTTCTACTTCTTGCTGTATTACATTTCATGAAGCTTCTCTGTCTGGCTCAGTTTTTTTCTCTTACACAAATTGACGAATAATTTGGTGTATTTAATATTGTCTGATACTCCAGAGTAAGCCCACCATTATCAGATGACTTTTCAGCATCATTTTGAGAAAGGTTAGAAATGGCAGGTCAGCATGAAATGTAAAGGGTATGACAAACTGCAGACACAGAAGTGTGGTGTAATTTGTTTTAAGAATTAATCATCAAGAATTAATGAATGTGGCTCTCACCCACACTGACTAAATGTAATTAGACCAGTTGGTTTCATGATAACTAGGAGCTTAATTTAGATTTTGTCCACTAAAATCTTAACTGTCAGTGATGTCAGTAGAAATACTAAACCTGTGGGATGTCCATTTTGTAATGACATGCTTTGCAGTGAACTAAGGTATGTCACCTTGCTCACTGAAAAGAATCCAAAACGAAAAGACCTTGAATATTGACCAGTATCTTCCCCTGACATTTCAACTATAATGTAGGTATGCTACAATGTTGTTTGGCTGCTTTCTTTTCTTCTTTTTTTATTATTATTGAAGAGTATCTCATTTGTTTCTGACTTTTGGATAGCAGTTATTAACATAGTAGAATGATGGAGAACCTAACTCTTCCCATATATCAGGACAGTGATGAAGACTGGTCTGGAGTCAGTGAAGGCGGCTCTACGGTCATACTTTGACAGTGCAGCAGAAGATCTGGAGAAGACGCAGGAGAACCTGAAGCTTGGGCAGTTCACCCACAGCAGAGAGCAGCCACGAGGTGTTACTCAAATAATCAACTACACCACCGTCGCGCTGTTGCCTGTCCTTTCCTCCCTGTTTGAACACATCGGACAGAACATGTTTGGAGAAGACCTTATATGTGAGTACAGATTTGTGGTGTTCATATCATGTGTGACCGATACTTGAAAGTTGAAATCCTACTGCATTAGTGAAAGGCTTTGTTCTTGAACACTTACTGTATGGAATTAATGCATTTGGGAGTCAGCTAAAAGATTTGAACTGGAGAATATTGTCATGTCAGTGTGTTTCCAACATGAAATTAATACCCTATTTTATTGTGATGTAAGACTCAATAGCAGATAATTAAGAGGAATTATTATGAATGTATTTTTCCTCATTAAAAATGATAGATGTTTTTGAAACATAAACTATAAAATGTGTTTGTTTGCCTCTTTTTCTCCAGTGGATGATGTCCAGGTCTCTTGTTACAGAATCCTCAACAGCCTCTACCTTCTGGGAACCAACAAGAGCATCTATGTAGAAAGGTATGGTATACCCTACAGGAGACGTACAGTATCTTTAAGGTACAGAAAATCCATTACAGAATCATGTGTCCTCCACCTTCTGTAAGTAGTTGTTAAGTAGTAGTGGTTTACATGTGATGCACTCTGTAGAGCATTTTACTTTACAGCAAAAGTTAGATAATTTTTCTTCCTCTCTTGGAAAAATTTCTATCAAATTTTGATTTGTGGAAAATCAGCCAAATGTACATGTTCATCCTGTAACAGTACTTGCATAGGTTCACAGATCACAGTGTGCTGTACAGATGCACATTGGTGTGCCTGATGGCCGAAGTTTGAGATTGGTCATGGACCTTTGTTGCAGGTCTCAAACTTTCTCTCTCACAGCACTGAAACTCTTTAACAGCAGTTGATGGTTTTTCCAAGAACGGATGCAGGACAACTAAATAAATACAAAGGATCAAGACCAGGTCAGTAGGTTAGTTCTGTCACCTCACAGCAAGAAGGTTCTGGGTTTGAAGCCAGGCTGACCCGGTGCCTTTCTGTGTGGAGTTTGCATGTTCTCCCTCTACCTGGGTGGGTTCTGTCCGGGTACTCCAGCTTCCTCCCACAGTCTAGAGACATGCAGCTTAGGTTGACTGGAGGCTCTAAACTGCCCATAAGAGTGAGTCTGCCTCCTGAAGCTGGTTCCATAGGAGAGGAGCTTGATAGCTCAGGGCTGTCCTCTTCTCCTTTTCATAAACGTTTCCCAACAGCACAACACAAGCTGCAAACTTATGCATGCACTGTTGATTGTTTTTTTTATTATCTGGAAGTAATAAGCTGGCTATTTGGCTAACAGAAATCTTGTGCTGGCAGCATTGGTGCAGGTTTGGACAGTCTGCTGAAGGTCAGGCTTATGGTGGCGTACGCATATTATCAGATGGCAGACAATATGCAGGCTTTCAATCATGGATGGATTTATGGGGGTGCTTAATGTACTGTGGGGGAAAGGGATACAGAGCTGACTGTAAACTTCTGATTTAAAAAAATTACTGTTGTCTGACTAGTTGTATTTTATGTTTTCTTCTGTCAATGGTGCAGGCAAAGAGCTTTGAAAAACTATCCTCTCCTCTCTTCTCTCTCCTCCTCTCTTGTCCTCTCTAGACATCGTCCAGCAATAGGAAAGTGTCTAGCTGCCTTCTCAGCAGCCTTCCCTGTTGCCTTTCTTGAGCCTCACATCAACAGGTTCAACAGCTTCTCCATTTACAACAGCAAAGGAACTAAAGACAGAGCGGGTACTGATGAATGTGTATTTATTTTAATGTTTAGCTCTGTGTGTGCTTGCATTTCACATACATTATAATGATTACACCAAGCTATGCAAGTCATGTTGTAATCATATTACATCTATTCTATATGCAAGTCAGTACTTAGATTCAAGTCCGTGTCCCCTGGCTGGTCGCCCATGGAGATTATGCCCATTTAATAAGATTATGTATGGCTGTAACATTTACTCTATGACAAATGGCTACTTATTCACACAGCTATTCTGCCACACCAGAGAATAATGTCAGTTTAACATCGGATCATATGGGCAATTACAGTTGCCACCATAGGAAAAGTGTTTACATGGCCCTTGAAACAAGCCAAAGCTTAACCATGCACATGCAAGCGTCTTAGCTGTGCTCCAGTACTTCATCAAATAGCACTACAGTTCAGGCCATAAACCTCTGTTGTTGTTCAAAAATAATTCAACTAGAAGAGACATCACAACACTGAATCAGTGATTAACATGATTAAATTCTTTATTAACATTTAAATATCTAAAATTGTAATATAATTATTAATCTTTACATTCATATTTATAATCATCTTTGCTGATTAAGTGCATTTCCATCATTCTCAAGCTTTAGGCCTTCCAGGACAGGTTGAAGAGGTTTGTCCTCTGATCCCAAACTTAGAGAAGTCTCTGGAGGAGATCATGGAGTTAGCAGAGTCTGGCATGAAGTACACCCAGATGCCCCATGTCATGGAGGTAGGATGTACACAGCTAACTACCTAACTTAAAGGTGTATATACTGTAATCCTGACCTGACCTCAGTTCTTTAAAATGACAAAACAGGAATAAGGTTCTGACTTGTTTTCTCTCTTACCTACATATATCCACATGTGTTTTGTTTACTCTGGGTCCTCTGGTTTCTTCTAACCACAAAATCATCTATGTTAGGGCTCCATCCATCCATCCATTTTCCTCCGCTTATCCGGAACTGGGTCGCGGGGGCAACCGTCTAAGCAAAGATGCCCAGACTTCCCTCTCTCCAGACACTTCCTCCAGCTCCTCCGGGGGAATGCTGAGGCATTCCCAGGCCAGCCAAGAGACATAGTCCCTCCAGCGTGTCCTGGGTCTTCCTCAGGGCCTCCTCCCAGTGGGACATGCCCAGAACACCTCCCTAGAAAGGCGCCCAGGAGGCATCTGAAACAGATGCCCGAGCCACCTCAGCTGGCTCCTCTCGATGTGGAGGAGCAGCGGCTCTACTCTGAGCTCCTCCCGGGTGACTGAGCTCCTCACTTTATCTCTAAGGGTGCGCCCGGCCACCCTGCGGATGAAGCTTATTTCGGCCACCTGTATGCGGGATCTTGCCCTTTTGGTCATGACCCAAAGCTCATGACCATAGGTGATAGTCAGAACGTAGATCGACCAGTAAATCAAGAGCTTCGCCTTACAGCTCAGCTCCTTGTTCACCACAATGGACGGTACATCGACCGCATTACTGCAGAAGCTGCACCGATCCGCCTGTCAATCTCTCGTTCCGACCTTGGAGGTCAACAGCTGCCCACCTCCACTGTAAACAGTTTTGGCAGGACACTGCTTCCCCCTCCTGAGGCGCTGGATGGTTTGCCAGAATTTCTTCGAGGGCGACCGACAGTCCCTCTCCATGTTCTCACCGAACTCTTCCCAGACCCAAGTTTTTGCCTCCACAACCACCTGGGCTGCAGTCCGCTTGGCCTGCCGGCACCCGTCAGCTGCCTCAGGTGTCCGAAAGCCAAACAGGCTCAAAAGGACCCCTTCTTCAGCTTGATGGCATCCCTTACTTCCAGTTCAGAGATTGCCACCACAACAGGCACCGGAGACCTTACGGCCAGAGCTATGAATGGCCACATCGACAGTGAAGGCAGAGAACATGGTCCGCTCAGACTCAATGTCTCCAACCTCCTCTGGGATCTGGTCAAAGCTCTGCCGGTGCCGAGCCTGTCCAGCTTCCTCCCCCGCCATTGGATCCAGCTCACCACCAGGTGGTGATCAGTTGACAGCTCCGCCCCTCTCTTCACCCGAGTGTCCAAGACATACGGCCGGAGGCCAGATGAAACAACCACAAAGTCGATCATCGACCTCCGACCTAGGGTGTACTGGTGCACTAATGTACACCCTTATGCTTGAATATGGTGTTTGTTATGGACTGTGACTAGCACAGAAGTCCAATAACAAAACACCACTCGGGTTCAGATCGGGGGGGCCGTTCCTCCCAATCACGCCCCTCCAGGTGTCACTGTCGCTGCCCACGTGGGCGTTGAAGTCCCCCAGTAGAACAACAGAGTCCCCAGTCGGGGCCTTTTCCAGCACCCCTCCCAGGGACTCCAAGAAGGCCGGGTACTCCACACTGCCATTCGGCCCGTAGGCACAAATGGCAGTGAGAGACCTATCCCCGACCCGAAGGCGCAGGGAAGCGACCCTCTCGTTCACCGGGGTAAACTCCAACACATGGCGGCTAAGCTGGGGAGCAATGAGCAAGCCCACACCAGCCCGCCGCCTCTCACCGCGGGCAACTCCAGAGTAGTAGAGAGTCCAGCCTCTCTCAAGGAGTAAGGTTCCAGAGCCCGAG